CAATGACTGGTTCCTTGAGTAAGCAAAGGGGTCAGGTACAAAGTCCCAAGGCACTTCTCTCCTCTATCCAGTCCAACCCTGACCTGGCAAGTTTCTGAGTGACAGGCTGACTTACCCAGCAAGAGCCCTCTTTCCCTTTCTGACACAGCACCTCAGCCTACTTCTGCAAAAGTGAACCAAGGGCCAGTGTGGTAACACAAATTTATCCAAGCACTTTGGAGGAGGAGGAGGCACTGTCATGAGTTCAAGGTCATCCTCAGCTACACAGCAAGATTGAGGCTAGCCTGGATACCTGTGATCCTGTCTCAAAAAATGGGGGGGGGGTGAGTGGGAACTGTGCTGGACACACCTACTTGTTAGCTCAGCTTGTCCCAAACTGATGGGAGAGCAAGGTCCAATGAAGCACAAAAGATCCTTTCTTTTCTCCTATCAATTGCTGTAAAGTGTGTGGGTGGTGGTGGGTGGGGGATGAGACGCTACTTATTTAGCTCTTACAATACACAGTTGTTCCCTGACAGCCATCCTGCATCCTCCTGCTGGAGCCCTGTGCATCTTTGAGGGATCTGGCAGCCAGGATTATTGCTACTCTATCTGGGGTTATGCTCTGGCCTACTGTAACCACTCGGATTCCCTGGCTTTGACAAGCACACTGTGAGCCACACAAGGCTACTGAAAAGACCCCAACAATCTCCAAGCCTGGGGGCACAGAGGAACAAAGGATACTCTGGGGACAAATTCAATTCTTTTCACCTGCTTCCATCTCCTTCTCTGTCTACCTTCCCTCTTGGCCAGATACATCTGGAGGCTGCTAGGAACCAAACCACTCCAAAACGCCTCAGCATTCACCCAAATCTAAATAATTTGTATATTAATATGGAACCAGAAAGTCTTTACCTTGACATATGGCCTCTGGATATCCTGCATGGATGGTCCTCACCTGCAGGTCACTTTAGCCACCCTCTTAGGAAAGCTGCTGGGACAGACCTACCCCACAAAGTCTTCCTCCATAGCAGCAGGCACAGCAGGAATCACCAGCACCTCTTTGGTGAAAGGTTACAAGCATAGCATTTGACTTCTGTCAACTTTTCCTCAAGTCTAGCTCAACACAAATCTCCACACTTTTGCTTTCACGGGACCTACACAGTATTACTTTTCCTGCTTTTCTTTATTTCCGTTTGAGTTCTTTAGTACCTTACAAAGCTGACTTACATGCTAGTCTAAGTCATTCACATCCAACAGAGCCTTTCCTACCTGTAAAGATCATGTCCCACAAATAGGGCTCTGCAGAGCCACTAAATCCCCAGACCAGTCCCAAGGTCCTGCTGAGTCAACTTCTGGCCCAGTGGACGGGGCATTGCACATCAGTTCTGGCCTGGTGCCCTACCCATTGCGTGCTACCCCTCCCATGCCCGATTTCCTCAGTGACATCCTCTATTGTCCTCCGATCTGCAGTATTCATGGAGACCTCAGTCAGTGATGATCAAGTATCCCTAATGTTATGATAAAGTTCGAGGGGAACCTAGGTAGGCGGCAAACATGCCAGGCAGACAGAGCTTAAGTGAGAAGTTATATTAGAAAGGTGCCAGGCGTTGGTGGCATATGCCTTTAATCCCAGCACTCGGGAGGCAGAGGCAGGTGGATCTCTGTGAGTTCGAGGCCAGCCTGGTCTCCAGAGGGAGTGCCAGGATAGGCTCCAAAGCTACACAGAGAAACCCTGTCTCGAAAAACCAGAAAGAAAGAAAGAAAGAAAGAAAGAAAGGAAGGAAGGAAGAAAGGAAGGAAGAAAGAGGGAAGTGGGGGGGGTTGAGGAAACAGAAAAGAGATAAAGAGACACAGAGATAGAGGAGGGAAGTGGGGGGGTTGAGGAAACAGAAAAGAGATAAAGAGACACAGAGATAGAGGACAGAAGAGAAGAGGGAGACAGGAAAAGTCCTCTTTGCCCCAGAGGAACAGCAGGAAAGAGAGAGGGTCAAGAGAGCGTAAGTGGGTCGGGGTCATTCTTTTAAAGGGGTCCTTTGCACCTGCATGCTGACTGGGGTACTGCCTGAGTGTATTCTGCCAGGTGACAGGGGCAGGCCAGCATAATGCCTGAATCCTTACGCCTAATGACTTCTATAAGCTAGTCCTTCACAAACTGATTATTTTCAGGTTATGCAGCCTTTGTCTCAAGGAGGGAGGAGTAGGACTATTACTCAGTCTCTGCTTTGTGACATTCAGACTGATGCCACCCCCACACCCAATACCCACAACCTCACAAGCCAAGCAGTGGGAGTCTCTCTCACTGCCTTTTTTTTTTTTTTTTTTTTTTTTTTTTTTTTTTTTTTTTTGGTTTTTCGAGATAGGGTTGCTCTGTGGCTTTGGAGGTTGTCCTGGAACTAGCTCTTGTAGACCAGGCTGGTCTCGAACTCACAGAGATCCACCTGCCTCTGCCTCCCGAGTGCTGGGATTAAAGGCATGCGCCACCAATGCCCAGCTCTTTCACTGCCTTTTAAAATTGTTTTATTTTTTGTTTTTCTCTCTCTTTTAATAATTTACTTAAATTTATTTTATTTCAGTGAAGGTGTCAGATCCCCTGGAACTGGAGTTACAGACGGTTGAGAGCTGCCATGTGGGTGCTGGGAATTGAACCCTGGTCCTTTGGAAGAGCAGCCAGTGTTCTTAACCGCTGAGCCATCTCTCCAGCCCCCTTGTTAATTTATTTTATTAATATTTAAATGCTTAATTAATATTTAAATGTTTATTTTTATTTTAAACATATGTTTTGGCAGCATGTTTGTATGTGCACCATATGTGTGCCTGGAGCTTGCAGAGGTCAGAAGAGGGCAGTGGATCTCCTGGTCCTGGAGTTACAGCTGTGAACCACCATGTAGGTGCTGGTAACCAAACCCAGGTCCTCTGCAAGAGCAACAAGTGCTCTTCCCTGCTGAGCCATCTCTTCAGTCCATCATTACTTATTTAAAAGTCTTTCCTCAATTTAGGCATTTCAGATGTAGAATGTTCCCTGATTATAGGTTTCCTGTATTGAGCATAATTAAGGACCCCCATCGAAATGCTGGGTCATGGATTTCCTCTGGGCCTGAGGGGTGTCTTCCATGACTTCTAACTTGCTCTCCCCCTGTCCCACTAATTCTTCCCAGGAAGAGCACATTAGCAGAGTTATTTCGTACTGCCTTTTCATTGCGCCACCCCCAGCCATATGAAGCAGAGCCAATGCCTTCAGCTCATTTTATGTCCCCTCCTCCCCACTTTCAGACCAAATTCAGAGGCTAGTGTGGAAGATAGCACCCATAGATCTTTTCCCCATAATTTCTGTCTTTATACAATCAAATTCTTTCTGCACAGACAGCTGAGTCTCAGTTTTATGTCTTTGTTTTGTTTTCGAGACAGGGTTTCACTGTGTAGCCCTGGCTGTCCTGGAACTCCCTCTGTAGACCAGGCTGGCCCAGAACTCACAGAGATCCTCCGGCCTCTGCCTTCTCAATGCTGGGATTAAAGGTGCACACCACCACTGCCTGACTCAATTTCGTATCTTAGTTCTAAAGCAAAGGTCACACAGGCAATAGCACAGCTTGCTCATCATTCTGTCCCTTACTGTCTTAGGGTTACCATTGCTGTTATGAAATACCATAACCGAAAGCAACTTGGGGAAGAAAGGGTTTATTTCACTTTTAATGTCCACAGTTCATCATCAAAATCAGTAAGGTAAGGAGCTCAATTAAGTAGGGCAGGAACCTGGAGGTAGGAGCTGATGCAGAAGCCATGGGGGGGGCACTATTTACTGGCTTGTTCCCTTTGGTTTTCTCAGCCTGCTGTCTTAATAGTATCCAGGACCACCAGCCCCAAGGGTAGCACCCACAATGGACTGGGCCTTCCTACATCAATCACTAAGAAAATGTTCTACAGGCTTGCTTACAGCCCAGTATTATGGAGGCAATTTCTCAATTGAGGCTTCCTTCTCTCAGATGACTCTAGCTTGTGTCAAGTTGACTTAAAGTAGCCAGCACTCTTACATACTACTTTAGAGACTAATATATCTTCTATTCCATCAGCAGTTTGGCAGCACCCTCACATTGATGTAGTGGACCCCATCCATTAAGAAGCGTAAGACTGCTAGCTGTCCTTACATTGAAGGGGCCAGAATGTGACTCCATCTTAGACATGAACAACTCCAATGTATATAATAACCTAAGCCCCAGTCCAGGAAGTCCCCCAGCCAAGTCTAGCCAATCAGCTAAACAGTTTCAAAGCCGGCCTAAAGGCTGAGAGGCCCAGAGTCACAGAGTAAGGCTATTACTGACCATATATGACTAAAAAGTCCACAATGGGTGGAACTGTTACTAGCCCTGTCCAATTACCATGCACCCCATGCAACTGTTCCCTGACTGCCCAGTGACAACAGAGATTAGCTCACCATGCTTAGAATTCCCCAGGTTCCCTTAAAAAGGGCCTGAGCCCCTTGATCCTGGGTTGTCACCACCATTTTGTGTGGATGATCGATCCTGCATGCTGGCTGTTTCTGCAGAATAAATGCTCTTTGTGTTTGCATACAGTTTGAGTATGGGGTCTTTCTTCAGTGATTCTCAGACTCTTACAATGTTACAGCTTAGGCTGTCCTGGAATCCATATATAGCACAAACTGGCCTTAAACTTGTCATAATACTCCTGCCTTACTCTCTTACTCTTTTAAGTACTGAGATTACAGGTGTCAGCCACCATGTTAGCTTGTCTTTTTTTTTCTAGTTCAGTGTTTTATCATCCATAGCAGAGCTAAAGCAACTGTCACCACAGCACAGAGGCATGCTGCCCCATACTACAGAGAGTAAAATGGCCCCATCAGGATTGCTCCCCATTTTCCACAGACAGTTCACTCTCAGATGGCTTAGGTTCGGTTATATGTCTCAGTCCCTCTTCCCCCTGCTGTGAGACTATTCTTAGGGAGATGTAAACAAAGGTCTACTCACCCCAGATTTGGAAATGACAACAGATTTAAAAAGCACAGATAACGCCAAAGTCCAACTCAGCTTTATTGTAGTTACTTAGAGAAGCAGGAATGGCTCAAAGACGGCTGTATCTGTAAAGGTCACTCCAGAGTGGGTGACAAAACACAAAAGCTGGGGATCTGGAGGATGATGCACAGCCTACAAGGAGCTCAACGGGCTGGAGAGTGTCCTTTCCAAGTGACTTGGTTGGTCTGAGCCCTTCCAGGAAGCTCTGTGGTCTTTGTGTCTTCTAGGTCTCTGCTTCTTCCAGGCAGCTGGGATTGTGAGATAGAGACAGTCTTCACTGCTTATAAACTGCTCCTCCCTAGTGCAACTTCTCCATTTCTGGGACTTCCTGAAGCTGTTCTGAGTTGTTTACTTCTTAATGAGCTTCCCTGGAGGATGGAATGATAACACCCCATTGCAAGAACAGCTTCTTTTCCTCCCAAACTTATTGTTCTGCCTATTTGGATAGTGTTGTGTGGCTTCTCTTTGACAGCACTGTCCTCTGAGCCAAACTGCCACCATCTTTACCCGTTCTAGTTATGCTTGTTAACTGCTGATGCTCCTTTAGAAGGTGAGGGTAGAGAGGGTCATGAGATACTCACCTGAATATCCAGCTACTCTTCCTTGTATGCAGTTCTCTGACTACATGGGCTTCAGGACTGGGGTCTCAAAAGGGGTTAGGGTATATAGGCTGGGAAGGACTCGGGAGAGAACTCCATCTGTGCAAGCCATAGGAAAACCATAGGGGGTGCAGGCTTTCCAGTGTGGCCTCTTTTGGTTCAACTCATGTTCTTGTCAGTAATCTCTTAGCCAGGCTCTGTAAGAAAGCCCCAAAATGACAGGCAGCGATGGTGCACACCTTTAATCCCAGGACTTCGGAGGCAGAGGCAGGTGGATCTTTGTGAGCTTGAGGCCAGCCTGGTCTATGGATCGAGTTCTAGGACAGCCAAGACACTGCTGCTACCTGGAAGTCCTGGGAAGGGACATTTAACAAGTTTCCAGGGGGTGATGCTGCAAGCCAGGGCCCATGCTTCAAAGTCTGGATTCTGAACATTATCTTCCCAAATTCTTTAGGCCCCCTTTTTTTAGAGGGACTCTAGAACAGGGTGGCTAGTGACCCCCCCTTTTTTTTTTTTTTTTTTGGTTTTTCGAGACAGAGTTTCTCTGTGGCTTTGGAGGCTGTCCTAGAACTAGCTCTTGTAGACCAGGCTGGTCTCAAACTAACAGAGATCCCCCCGCCTCTGGTGACCCATTTCCTAAAGCTGATTAAGTCTTTCTGTGCTTTTCACCACTACTTACCTCTTTTAATTGGTATGCTGAAATAGGTAATGGAGCAGAGCCAGCTGGGGCTGCTACAGCCAAGGCTCTACCTCTAAAACTCTGAATATAGCACAAGCAGAGGATCACAGTAGTATTCACAAGGAAACTGGGTTAGGTTGCTTCAAGCCCACTGGTCCATTCAAAGGTAGCTATCCTGAGGAAGCAACTGGTACCCAGACTGCAAAGTGAAGGCATGTCTTGAAGCTCCTCTTGGCCAACAGCTGGCGCCCTGGCTATGATCCCATCCATACCTGGCCAGTCAGGCCGTTGTTCTCAATCTTTCTAATGCTGTGAACCTTCAATACAGTTCTTTTTTTGGGGGGGGGGGTTCAAGACAGGGTTTCTCTGTGTAGCTTTGGAGGCTGTCCTGGAACTAGCTCTTGTAGACCAGGCTGGTCTCAAACTCACAGAGATCTGCCTGCCTCTGCCTCCCAAGTGCTGGGATTAAAGGCGTGAGCCACCGACCCCCTGCAAGTACAGTTCTTTATGTTGTTGTAGTGACCCTCCAACCATAAAATTATTTTCACGGCTACATCACAACTCTAATTTTGCTACTGTTATGAATCAGGTTTTTGTTTTGTTTTATTTTCGAGTCAGCGTTTCTTTGTGTAACAGCCCTGGCTATCCTGGAACTCTCTTTGTAGACCAGGCTGGCCTCAAACTCACTGAGACCCACCTGCCTCTGCCTCCGAGTGCTGGGATTAAAGGTGTGCACCATCACCACCCAGCTACTGTTATGAATCATAATATAAATATCTGATACAAGGGATATGTGAAATTCGACCCCTGTGAAAGGATCATTTGTCCCCTAAAAGGGGCCATGATCCACAGGTTGAGAACCATAAAGGCAGCCCCCATGGTCCCTAGTATATTAAAGTCTATCTTCCATGAACTGAAATGGAGTCAGCTGAAGCCGAGTATGGTGGCGCTTGCCTGCAATCATAGTACTTGGGAGGCAGGGGCCGGAAGATCAGGAGTTCAAGGCCAGTCTCCTCACCTGGTCTCACCCCCACCCTCTTTTTTTGTTTTGTTTTTTAAGGCTACTGAGATTAGTGGATAGTGTGCTGGTTACTTTGTCAACTTAACACAAGCTAGAGTTATCTAGGAAGAGGGAACCTCAAATGGGAAAATGCCTCCCCCATTTGATTAATCTGGAGAATTCTGTGAGGCATTTTCCCTTTGGCATGTCTGGAACTCCCTATGTAGATCAGGCTAGCCTTGAACTCACAGAGATCCACCCTGACTGTTGGGATTAGAAGTGTGTGCCACCATCAAGCTCATTTTCTTAATTAATCATTGACATGGGAGGGTCCAGACAATTTGGGGGGTGCCAACCCTGAGCAGGTGGTTCTGGGTTATACATGAAAGGAGGCTGAGGACCGGAGAGTTGGCTCAAGCTCACAACCAAAACAAGAAAGTAGTCCGAGCAAACCAAGGAAAGCAAGCCAGTAAGCAGTCTTCCTCCAGGTTCCTCTCTTGAGTTCCTACCTTGACTCTGAGTGATAGACTGTTACCTGGAAGTGTAAGATGAAATCAACCTCACCAAGTTGCTTTTATTCATGGTGCTTATCACATCAACAGAAAGCAAACCAGGACAGATGGTAAACAAAATATTGAGAGAGAATATCTGACATACGTACGTGTGTGTGTGTGTGTGTGTGTGTGTGTGTTATAACTTGAACCAGCATATTTAAAGAACTGCAAATCAATAATGAGTGAGAACACCGTTAGAAAACTGTCCTTACAATTACTATTGACTGAAGAGACAGCTTCCATCTCTACCTTCTCAACCTGCTATTTATTAATTCGGGACAGATTTCCAGGAGATATGCAATCAAGAGCAAGGGAGGAATCACCCGGCAGCCTAATACAACACCAGGAACACTCCATCTGGGAAGCGGAACTGGTGGCTTTACCAGAAGCGGCTGAACACCTGTAGGAGTCTCAGACTGCAAATCAGCTTGTCTGCTTGTAGACGGCGGCTGCCTGGAGCTGGCCTTACCACCATCAGGTGGGAGCACGGAGGGGCTCACCTCCCAGTCCCTAAACTGGGAGTAATAGAGCGCTTCCAGGTCCCACAGCTGGAGAGGGATGCACCTCGAGGTTCCACCGCTGGGGGAGGGGGGCGCACGTGTAAAGGATGCACAGCTGGAAGCAAGAGCGCGCTCAGGGATTAGCATGGCTCTGGAGCGTGGAGGACTGCAAGGTCTCATCCATCCACGAGCTGCTAGGGTCTGACCCTTAGAGCGCGCGTCTCAGTAAAGCAGGCTGTCCGTTCATTCTACTCATCCGGCATCGACAGTGCGACCGCACCTGCGCCCCACCCTCCCAGGACCGGTGGAAAACAACCAAGTAGGACTGAGGAAGAGACCAAGGACCGCAACACGGGCGTGGCCTACAGCATCCGCCTCCAAGTACAAGGGCGGGGCTCGCCTCCAGGGGGGTGGGGCCTCACCTAGCTTTGCTCCGATTGGTCAGGACGCGCGGGGCATTGTGGGTCGCCGCGCTCCTGCTGCCGCCTCAGCTCTACGCGCCTCGCCATGTCTGGGTCCCCTGTAAAACGCCAGAGGATGGAGTCCGCTCTGGACCAGCTCAAGCAGTTCACCACCGTGGTGGCCGACACGGGTGACTTCAATGGTGAGAGGACGCGGCGCATGCGCCCTGAATGAGCTGCGGCGCCCCCAATTTTGGGATCAGGACTGCTATGGGTGCCTGGGGCGGGGCCTCGCGGGCGCTGGAGACGGGATTGGCTAGTCTGCCGAACTCTCAAGGTCCTACCCGGCCTCCGGGCTATCTGGTGACCCTGGGAGCCCCTTGCGAAGCTTCGGTGAGTCGAGGCGACGGTCCAAGGAAGAATCCCGCTGACCCTGGGTGTCCAGCCTACGGTAACACAGGCTCAGCTTTGGAGCCGGTGCGGTCTGCAGGGCCGGGACGGCCTCTGTGGAGGACACCTGCTTTTGCAGCCTGTTGCACTGGCCTTCCAGCTGGTTACCGTCTGGGTACCCAGTGTGGCTGGACTCATACAAGATGCACATACTAAATCAAATGGTTATTCTATTGCCAAACCTCCTTCCCTTCTGAGACAGGGTTTCACAGTGTAGTCCAAGCTGGCCTGGAACTCCTGGTAATCCTCTGTTTTAGCCTCTTAGTACTGGATCAGGCAGTGCCACCATTCCCAGCTCCAGTACTCAGATTTTCCTGGACTTGGAGAGAACTTGGAAGATATAGGTAGTAAGGCTTGCCCTGCTGATCTAGCTCTCAGCCTTGTGGAGTCGTATAGTTGAACTTGTTTCACATCTGCTGTGAAAATGAGACTTTGAGGAAATGCTCCATGAGAGCCCAGTACAAAAGCACCTTCTGCCCTTTTCTGCTTTCTCACGGTGACTTGAGAAACAGGCTTTAATTCCTCATGAGTAAGTGCATTGTTTATCTCTCAGAGAGAGTGATTAGGCATATTTGGGCTGCTTAAATATTAGGAAGGACAGACCTGTCTAGTAGCAAACCTGTCTGGCAGAAGCTGTGGGTTTGTCGGGGAGGTTCCAGAAATCCATTGGGAATCCTGAGGTTTTTCCACTATGTGTGTAGTGCATATCTTTTTAGGGGGTGGGTGTGGGGAGCGGTTCAAGACAGGATTTCTCCATAGCTTTGGAGCCTGTCCTGGAACTAGCTCTTGTAGACCAGGCTGGTCTGGAACTCAGAGATCCACCTGCCTCTGCCTACTGAGTGCTGGGATTAAAGGCATGCACCACCACTGCCTGGCTGTAATGCAGATTTTACCTGCTAATGTTTATGATCACAGAGTGCAAGAGCCAGGCATAGCGGCACATGCCTGCACTTGGGAAACAGAGGCAGGCCAATCAGTTTGGTGTCCACATAGTTCAGGCGGGCCAGGGTTACATAGTGAGACCCTGTCTCAAGCAAAAATAACAAAAGTACATTCATTGACAGTGTAGCTTAATATATATACAAGTTAAATAATTATAAACACTGCATTCAATTTGAGGTCTGTATTGTGTAGGTCCTTAACTCCTTGGGTGTCACAGGCCCCCGAAAATAGAATCTGGACTCTAATAGCCGAAACATTTGCCCCCTTCATTTTCCACTAAACCTAAGGGTCTTTGTGCCTTAAAGCTCATCTGTAGAGGTGGGATAGGGATCAAGCCCAGAGCATCACACCTACTAAAACAGGTACTCTATTCCTGAGCCGTGTCTCCAGCCTTTGGGTCTATGTGCCCTTCAATAGATTCACACTTGAGCCAGCACCATTCCAGAGCACATTTTCCCCTACTTTTTTATTTTGAAATAATTGCAGACTCCCAAGATGTTGCAAAAGTAGCCCAAGCACCCTTTGCCCAGTTTCCCTAATGATGTCCAAATCAGGAAGCAGACACCAGTGAGCCATGCATTGTGCTGCCTGCAGACCAGGCCTGCTGTGGTTATCTTTGCAGTGGTTTCATACTGTGTGGACTTATATTAGCACTACAAGGATGCAGAGTTATCTCCTTATCCTCAAAAGACGTATGGGCATAGTGGCATAGACTTGTAATGTAGTCCCAACATTGGGGAGGTTAAGGCAGGAGGATTACAAGTTTTAGAAAAAGAGTTAAGCAAGCTCATGTCCTCTTGGCAACTGGGCATTGCTGGCTCTGCATCTGCTGTTCCTATGCCCATTCACTTGGATAGCTGAGCTGACAGGGGCTCATTGGCTTTTCTGAATTCCTGAGTCAGGGTGTAAACCCTAATATGTTAAAAGAGCTAATACAGCTTGGCATAATATGTGCTCCCCCCTAAAAACAACAACCAAAAAAGTCATGAGAAGAGCTGAAGCTAGTGTTAGTGTCAGCAAGCCTGCCAGTGGTTTGGGACTAGTGCACCACCTGCTGGCGCTCTGGGGCAATAAGACAAATTGTGGAGTGTATTCTTCCAGCATCCTCATATTTCCCTTCCAAGTCATTAAAAATCAGCTTTTATTGGGGGGGGGATTGTTCTGGGGTTACCTAGTTTTGTTGTTGTTTATTATGTTTTTGTTTCAGATAAGGTCTCAGTGTGTAGGCCTGGCTAGCCTAGAACTTGCTATGTAGAGCAGGCTGGCCTCAAACTCTAGCTTATTTGTTTCATTTTAAGCTTTACTATAAAAAATATTGCAAATTTAAAAAAGAAATCACACACCAATATGGTTTGGTGGTCTGTTTTGTTTTGAGACAGTCTCAATATATAATCCTGGTCTGGAACTCACTAAGTAGCCCAAGCTGGCCTTGAACACCTGTGTCTGCTTCCAGGGTGCTGGGATTAAAGGTGTGTGCCACCACACCTAGCTCATGCTGTGGTCTTTTGAGACAGGGACTTGCTCTGAAACCCAGGCTGGCCTTTGACTCTCAGTCATCTGAGCTAGGATCATAGGCTGTGCTGCTATACCCAGCTCAAGTGTGTGCGTTGATTACTGTCTTCACATGGAAGCCAGCCTCTTTGGATCTGCTGTGAGCACTGCCACTGAGATCCACTTGGGCACTCTTCCTCATCTCAGGTCAAAGTTGCTTCTGGTCACTGACAAAATACCTGAGAGAAAACTTGAGGGAGGGCTGATTTATTTGGATGATTTCTAAGGTCTATTGTGTGGGAGAGGTCACAGGTAAAGCAGAGCAGCTCCTCTTAGGCAAACAAGAAACAGGGAAACAATGCCTGTGCTAGCAGACTGTCTCCTCTTATTCCATGGGGCCTCTAGTCTTATCTATGGGTTATGATGTCCAAATTCTGAGCAGGTCTCTTCCTTAGTTAATCCTCCTGGAAGCACAGACAAGCCCAGAGGTAGTTTAGATCTACTTGGTCCAATCCAGCTGACAACAAGATTAACCATCCACCTGCTTTTGAAATATATTTACCTAGCCATTGATGAGTACAAGCCCCAGGATGCCACCACCAACCCATCCTTGATCCTGGCTGCAGCCCAGATGCCTGCCTACCAAGAGCTGGTGGAAGAGGCCATTGCCTATGGCAAGAAGCTGGGTGGGTGAGTATGGATGATGAGAGCTCTGCAGGTCCCACTCCTCAGATTGGCCATATTTCCCTCCCAGTCCAACACTGTCTTTTGTTCATTGAGAAGTGATTGTATGGAGTAAATCACACTCACTGGCTATATGGCTCTGAGGCTTGCCAGCGTCTAGACCCCCAGCTGAGATATAGAACACTGCCAGCCTTCCAGGTTCCTGTCTTTGACAGACTCTGTAGCTCTGACAGCTATGCTTTGCCTTCTGGTTGTCATTACTTTCTTTCTTTGGTTTTTTTGTTTGTTTTGTTTTGTTTTTATTTATTTTTTTGGATACAGAGTCTCTACATAGCTGTGGCTGTCCTGGAACACACTATGTAGACCAGGTTGGCCACACCTGCCTCTGCCTCCTGAGTGCTGAGATTAAAGGAATGCACCACCTTGCCCGGCTGTCGTTACTTTTTAATAACAGGCTAATGGATTTTAGTAAATTGTGTGTTGTTACAACTGTCACCATAATCTCTGATCCTCCTCCTTCTACCTCCTTGTCCGTGTCCTCAGCTTCTTTCTTGTTTATATGAGACAAGGTGTCCCTGTGTAGCCAGGCTGCTCTTAAGTATGCTTGCCCAGTGCTAAGATAACACTGTGTGGTGCCACTGTGCTGGCTTCCAATCTTTTTCTTGTTCCTGTAGTTTTACCTCTTCCACCTTATCACAGATAATAAATGTATAGTCCCTTTTTATATAGTAATTGTAGTATTTATGAAGTATGGTATGCTGATGTTATACATTATACAATGTGTCATCAAATCAAGGTGATAGGCATCTTACTCTCCTTTCTTGGGGGTATCATTTCTTGGGGTTGTATAAAAATATAATTTTATAATGGGGGTGGTAGTGCAGGCCTTTGATTTCACCACTTGGGAGGCAGAGTTCGAGGCCAGCCTGGTCTACACAGTGAGTTCTAGAACAGCCAGGGTTACATAGAGAAATGCTGTCACAAAAAAACAAAAAAGGAAAAAGTTCTGAAGATGATGGTGGTGTGATTCCCAACAATATAAGTTAATGCTGTTGAACTATAAACTTAAATGGTCAAGATGGCATGTTTTATGGGTGTTTCACTATTATATAAAGACCCTGTCTCAAAGCAAAAATAAGTAGCATGTGCTCTCATGCCCATGGTGGGGAGGCTGAAGGGAAAGAAATTTGGCAAAAGAGTCAGAGTTGGTCTTATAGGTTCCCCCAAAGCCTTCAAAGTTTCTAACACAACTTTCCCTCTGAATTTCAGGCCACAAGAGGAACAGATTAAAAATGCTATTGATAAACTTTTTGTGCTGTTTGGAGCAGAAATACTAAAGAAGATTCCAGGCCGTGTGTCCACAGAAGTGGATGCAAGGTAGGTGGGGATAGGGTAGGAAGGCAGCAGGTATCCTGGTGGCATCAGTGGCTGAAGAGGTAGTTTGTTCTTGATATTCTCCACACTCATTCAGTGGTATAATATGTATTATATTGGAAGACTATACAGAACTGATAGCCTAGACACTGATCAATGGCTAATCTTGAGTCTTGTGTCTTTTGTGAAAATATACTTTCATTAAGAGGTCCTGGCCG